CAGTGTAGCCAGTTCAGCTACAAAAAACAGACCTTAGACTGTAATATAAAAAAATAACATTAATATGAACTAACTTATAAATTGATGTACATATTATACACACATATATATATATATATTAATTACACTGTAATAAAAATATACATGATTTGAATTTAATAAATTCATAATTTATGTTTATGTAATACTTTTTATACTACACAGTGTAATTAATATATATATGTATAATATGTACATAAATTATGAATTTATTAAATTCAAATCATGTATATTTTCATTACTTATTGCTATTATTTATGTATAGATATATAAGTTATTGGATAAGTTATTTTCTCATAAGTAGCCATTACGTTTTTACTCATAAACTTAGCATTTCGACTGTAGCAAATTTGCATCGACCTGAGTTAGATTAGTTAACATACTTTATCAATAGTAGATAGGTCAGTTCAACCACTGCAATGGTCAAAAACGCTATGAAAAAGATACACTTAAATAAAATATAAAACTATTAATTAAATAATTATTAATTAAATTATTTGATATTAAATTTATTACGTTTATTTCTTTTATGAGAAAAAAGTGAGGCTACTTGTAATGTCACATTTTCTATATAAAAAATATTTTAAAAAGACAATCTTGTAAAGAAAATCTGAATGACTATTGTTAATTATAAAATTAACTATCAAGTTATTGAAATGTTAATCTTTATAGCCCATTGATTATACTTTCTTAGAAATTAATGATTTATTAAATATTTTACATGTATGAGTAACAAGAGACATATTTCCTTTTTTCTTAATTTTTATAATTCTTTATTTATTTGTTCTTATATATACAGAAAAAATTCAATTGTGATCAATGGATACCTGAGACATGGACAATACAGTGTAACACAATAAATCACTTCATCTATGATTAATATTGACAAATAATAAAGATATAATAGTTTACTTTGCTGTCACTGTGTTATCTGGCTCTTATTGAAAAGCACTATCTCTACCTTAATATTTTATGTAAAACTTACTATTTTTGCTTAATATATCGCTAAGAATTGATGAAATAAACACTTTATTGATGACAATCACTGTTTGCGCTATAAATGGTAAAAGACTACATAATGGAAAAAGATTACATAAATTTTTTATATTTACATTTAGACCTGCACATTGGGCATTGTATTGTAAATTCATCGGTATTACTGATGCATCTACATATACAATTATGACAAATCATATGGCCACAAGTTGTAGCACTAAAAGATTCTAAAGTTATATCTTCTCGGCATATAGGACAGTTCAAATTATTGTCATCTATTTTGACATGTTGTAGATAACAATATTTTCGTTTACATGCATTCTTTTTGTTATCGCCACATATATTTGTATTTTGCAAAGTCCGTCCGACTTCTTTCTTCATATTCTGTGTTGCTTTCCCTGTTAATGTGTAGCGGTACTGTTCTAGAATAGTGCAATGAAGATATGGACACTACTTGTTGCTGCATGTGTTGTTCTGGTATTTGTAACAATATAAATATGTGTGTACAGAACCGCAATCCAAATTGAAGCAGCGACATTTTTCAAAATTAATACATTTTTTAGCAATCTGTTCCCTAAAATATTTCTGGCGTTTAGTAAGAATACATTATGAAAAATAAAGGAAATCTTGTAATCATATTATTTTAAAATCTTACCTTGAACCATAAAACGACATGTTTTTAACATAAATGCCACGTAAGCACCTAATATGTAGCTGCAGAATGTCTAAAAAAAAATTATGTGTACATACAAGCTTTGTTTGGAACACTTTCATGTTGAAAGCATCATTGTATCTTATTGCTCATTATATACTTAAAAAAAAAAACAGAGTTTTCAACGTGTCAGAAAGAAATGTTTATTAAAGGGTTGTATATCTACTGCTATTTTTAGATGAAATGAATTGAAATGTTAATCCTTATAATCTATCAATTATACTTTCTTATAAGTTAATGACTTATTAAATATATTATATGTATAACAAGAGAATATTTCCTTTTTTCTTAATTTTTATAATTGTTCTTTATTTATTTGTTCTTACTTATATAGGAAAAATTTAATTATTGTCACTAATGGATTATACTTTCCAGCAAGAGACGATGGACGACAGTGTAACACAATAAATCATTTAATCTATCATTAAAATTGGCAAATAATAAAAATGCAATGATTTACTTTGCTGTCACTGTGTTGTCTGGCTTTTATTGAAAAGCATTATTATTTCTAACTTAATATTTTATATAAAGTTTACTATTTTTGCTTTAATATGTTGCCAGGAATTTTAATCTAAAATGTTTTATCAAAAAATTAAAAATCGTCATAGGATCTCTGCAAAAAATTAAAGAGGTTTTATAAGAAATCGTATTTCTTACGAATCGTGTTTCTTACGAAAAACAGCAATAGCAAAATAAAAGACTTTAAGGTAGAAAGTATAATCGATTAACGTATCTTACTAATGTACATACATAATGTAAGGTTAAAAAATTTATAATTACCGATAGCTATCACACAAAGGAAAAATAACCACAAAAGTAATAAATGCAGGTGTTATTCCAATATATTTGTAATCACATTAAATAAACAAGAATGAAATAAACAACAA